CTGCGCCTCCGGATGCGCCTCCGGCAGCGCATGCGGCTCCGGCAGCAGATGAGGCAGAGGTTGCTCAATGGCACCACGACCACCAGCAGTCCTACCGCCCCACCACCCACCACAGCCTTGCCCTGGACCTTCAGCAGCACCACCTACGCATCCTGGAGCCAAGAACCCCCCACAGCTGGCACCTGGGAGATGGAAACTGAAACGGAGGTGGTGACAGAGCTGGTGACCGAGCTGGAGGCCTGGGAGGTGGGGACGGGAACAGCACAGCCCCTCACCACGGCCGAGACCTACACCGTGAATTTTGGGGACTAGGAGCTGCTTGTCCCCTTGCTCCTGCCTCCAGCCAAGATGGCCAGTTTTGTTTTGCCTCCTTCAGGCTCCAGCATCTGCTTCTAAAGTCTTCCTGGAGCAGCCCACCTGGGGGGCTCCAGCTCCTCACCTGAGCTGTTCCCAGGACTGCAGGACCCGCTGTGCTGCTGCTCACCCCCAAGGGCTGATGGCCACAGAGCCTCCCTCTGGCCAGGCTCCAGCACTGGGCAGGACAGGACAAGTTGTCCTATCCCTCTGGGCTGGGCAGTGCCAGCCCTCCACTAGCAAGAGGGGACAAAAGAGGCCCAGCTCTGTCCCCTGTCCCGGGGCTGGCAGAGGTGGTGCCACCCTCCAGGGCAGGGCCCACAGGGGGGCAGGCACAGTCCCTGTCACCTCCACCCCGTTTTTTATTACACAAATAAATCAAGTTCTATTGGTACCAGCAGCTCTTCTCTCCCATGCCCCGGCTGCCCCATGCCAGTCCTCCTGGGAGGGCAGTGGGCACCCAGGACCTTCTGAGGAGATGGAGATTTCTTGAGTGCCCTGCCCACCCAGTCAGTGTGGGACCTCCGTGTCCCCATCATCATCTTCGGTGCTGAAGCCAGCAAAGGTGATGGGCTGGCAGCTGAGGTCATGCAGGTTGACCAGGCAGGCAGTCTGTGTGGCACTGAAGGCTGGCACTGCCACCAGCAGGACCTGCTGCCCATCTTCCCCTGCAGAGGTGGAGGGGGTCAGGCTGATGAGCCCCCTCCTGGGCTCCCCCTGGCACCATCCCCCAGCCTCCAGGTAGTACTGGAGTGGGGGCTGTGGGACCCACCTTTGAGCACCTTGGACTGGAAGCGGGGAGCATTGCCACAGAAGTAGACATGAGGACACTCAGTGAGGATGAAAGGGTCTGATGTGTAAAAGGGGTAACAGCCTGGAAGAGAGGAAAATGAGGGGGGGACCTGCCCCCACTCCCCTATGGAGGTCAAACAGCCTCCAGCCCCGGTGGCCACCTGGCCCTCCCCTTACCCAGGGTGTCCGGGGCCGTGGGGCAGATATGTCCTGCCAGCAGTGTCCACTCCAGGATCTCCAAGTAATCATCCATGCTGCTGTACTTGAAGATGTCGCTGATGTTTTGTCCTGATGTCCCCAAAAACCTGCAATGTTTTGGGCGGAAGGAAGAGGAGAAAGGGGAGGGAGGACAGGGAGATGCAGATTGCCATACTGGCCATGATTGTCACCTCGCTGGTGGCACAGGGTGGGGGTTGGTACCTGACACCATCCACGTCAGCCTGGTAGGGGTTGGTGACCAGGTGGAGGGTGGGGAAGGCGCTGGCCAGGGGCAACATGCAGCGGTGCAGGGGCTGCTGGGGCAGCGTGTAGTTGGTAGGGTCAAACTCACCAGGCATCACATCCACAGGCACTGAGTTCTGTGGGCAGGGAGGAATCACTGGTGGTGGGGGAACCCCCTGGCTGGAGCTCACTGCCAGCTCTGCCCCACTCCCCAGTTTGGCTCCAACAAGCAGAGGATGGGGTGGTGGGATGGGATAGGACAATGGACAGGACAGTGGGGGCACTGGGGTGGTGAGATGGGACAGCAGGTCAGGGGACACAATGGAGGGGCTGCAGCCCCCCTGCTCACCACTGCCCTGGAAGGTCCCCAGCTCCCTGGCCAACCCTACCCCACCCCAGGCACTCACACAGAGCTGCAGCAGGATCTCATCCAGCATCTTCACAGCCTCCACACTGGCAGCTTGGGTCTTCTTGGTCAAGTACTTGGCCTGGAGAGCAGGGAGAATGAGGGAAAAAACCTGAGTCCTCTCCCAACTCTCCTTCCCCACCTCAGCAGGACCCCTGTGCTATCCTGGACCCTGGCAGGCCTGGTTGAGGCTGCAGGACCTTACCTTGTTGATGGTGTCCCGGCTCTGGGTGTTCTGGCTCAGCAGGTTCCCTGCGAGGATGACTCTGGAGATGTGGGCAGCACAGCTCTGCTGACCCTCAGCACCCAACTGCCCTGTCACCACATCCACCAGCAGCTGAGTGCTCAGCAGGGCCTCCCCACTGCTGCTGCCCAGCCCGAGCCCCGACACCAGCAGCACAAACCTGGGGGCAGAGGATTGGACAGCACCCCATGTCCCTCAGGGCACCAGGGGCACAGACCGTCTCCCCATGGCTCCCCATCTGCCACTGTCTTCCAAGGTGGCTGCTCCCACGGGCACGAGGGATGAGACAACTCTGCTCCTGTCAGGGTGGGGACTCACTGGTCTGAGCTGGGGCGCTGCCAGGGCAGCGGGCTGGGGAGGCTGGAGAAACACTGATCTTCCACCAGGAACTTCCCATCATCCTGCTCGGAACCGTAGACGGCAAAGACGGTCCCTACAGCAGAGAATCATGGGATGGGTTGGAAGGGACCTTAAAATCATCCAGTCCCATCCCTGCATCCCACCAGACCCGGGTGCTCCAAGCCCCATCCAACCTGCCCTTCAACACCCCCAGGGATGGGGCAGCCACAGCTTCCCTGCCCAACCTGGGCCAGGGTCTCACCACCCTCACACCAAAGAATTCCCTCCTCATGTCCAACCTCCATCTCCCTCTCCCAGTTTCAATCCATCCCCCTCATCCCATCCCTCCCTGCCCTTGTCCCAAGCCCCTCCCCAGCTTTCCTGGAGCCCCTTCAGGCACTGGAAGGTGCTCTAAGGTCTCCCTAGTGCCTTCTCTTCTCCAGGCTGAACAGGCCCGTCTCTCAGCCTGTCTTCAGACCATCAGTTCTTGATTAGGGAAGGTGAGGTGGCTCCCACCCAGAAGCCACCATCCCCTACCTGTCACCAGCTTCTGCACCTCCAAGGCTCCTGCCAGCTTGATCCGCTGCAGCTCATCCTCCAGGATCAGCTCATCAGAGGGGTGGATGTACTTGGGCAGGGGTGGCTGAGGCACCAGGTTGTGCTGGGGACACACACAGGGCAGGCTGTGACAGCCACATTGAGACCCACCTACCCTAAAGGACATTCCCACCCAGCCAAACCTTCCTGGTAGAAACCAGAGTGGCCAAAGTCCCCATGGAGGCCTCAGTGGCTCTGGGGGCTGCTCACCAGCTGGTCTGATGAGCTGGTTTTCACTTCACTTCCTAAACCCAGGCACGTGGCTTCCAGCCAGGGAGGAACTGGCTCAGCCAAGGTCTGGGCCCAAGCTCTGGAAAATGAGACTCAGGAAATGTATTCCCAAAAACCCCGTGTCCTCCAAACTCTGCCCGGGATCAGTGGGTTCCAAACGTGCCCCACGCTCCCCAAAGGACCCCCAGCATGACACCAGGGTGGGGGAGCTCCTCTGGACACTTCCTTGCCCCCTGCAGCAGGGAAAGGGGGTTTGCTCTGCTGGCTCTCAACGAGGAGAAAAGCAACAGCAGGAAGGCACCCCACACACCACCACCAGCCACCAAGAGGTGGCACCACTAGTGGTGACATCTAGGGACAGGCACAGAGATCCAGATCGGAGCTGAAGGGAAGGAGCAGCAGGTGAGCAGGAGGGACTGTCCCCACTGTTACCTCCTCGCTGATCTCCTGTAGGATGGAGGGTTGAAGCTGCATGGCCTTGAAGAGTGTCCCCACCACGCAGCACTTCTCACCCGGGCGCAGCTCACAGAGCTTCCGCAGAGCCACGTCCTCCCCTGCGGATTAGAGGGCTCAGCCAGGCTGGGAAGGGGTCCAGGGCCACAGAGCCAAAGCCACATGTGGGGCACAGATGGGGCCAAGGGACTGGAGAAGAGCCCCAAGGCGCTTCTTCTGCCATGGGGGGGGGGCACCCAGCTCCCAGCCACCCCCCAAGACAGCTGGGACACACATCCAGCTCTGCCCAGGCCTGGGACCACCCTCCTGGCACGGACCCAGTCGTCCTGCTCCCCTGGGAGATGAGGCAAAGATCCCACCCAAACATCCCACTCTGATCTGATGGGGAGAAGGGATCATTCTTCACACCCAAGCCAGATGCCCTGCCCAGGATCCCTGCTGGAAGCCCAGGGATCCCTGCTGGAAGCTCAGAAATCCCATCACAGTTTGGCATCTGGGAAGATCCTAGCATGACCAGAGGTTGCTGAGGAGTGGCTGCAATTCCTCTCCCCTGCTCCTTCTTCCCCACCATGCTGTAAGAAGGGAACCACTAAACCTCAGGATCCTCCAGGCTTGATTGGGCCCCTCTTGGGAAGGAATATTGACTCAAAAGTTTTCCACATGGGAAAAATTGCACCAGCTTGGAACTGGTATATCCTGGGAAGGCATAAAGACACTTTAGCAGGGGGATATGGGGGAACCACCCTGGCAGGTTGGGAGAGTGTCCCAGCCCTGGAATTTCCTTGCCTTTTTGCAGCCAAAAATCTATCTCCCTGGTGGGGACTTGAGTCCAGGGCTTGCCCCCTGCCCTGTAGTAACCTGGGGACCCTGCACCCCCACCCCCTGTGTGCTGGGAGGGCTTTGGTTTCCCCCATTTAAACCAACTCCTGAAGCCTGGAGCTCTGGAGGGAGCAGGACCAGCTCCCAGGCTCCTCTCCTGGGCTCCTCCAGCAGGTTCTTCCTTGCTGCCAATGATGGTGGCTGACATTTCATCCCTCCACCCCCTCAAATTCTCCCTTTGCTCTTCATGTCCCTCCCATCCAGTGGATGGTGCCCCTGAGGAGCCCTGGGAGGTGTTTCTCAATCCCAGGAATGTAAAACACAACAACTGCCTTCAAATTCCTTCTTCTTGGCTCTAATCCCGCCCCCTACCTCCATAAGATGCCTGAGGGGTTTGCCGGGAGGGGGGGGAGGTTGTCACTGCACTCCCCAGATTTTGCCTGTGAGACAGGAAACTGGTCCCATGGGGACATGGAGCTCTACAAACCTGCTGGGTCCTGCTTCCGCCTCCCTGGGCAACATTCCAAGAAATGACAAGGCCTTTGGAACTGCTGGGGGTAGGTTTGGCTTCTTATTCCAACCCCCCCCCCCCATCCTGGCTACAACCAGAGAAAGAAAAACAAGGAGCCAGCCCAAAAAACTCCCTAGAAGGACAAAGCTGAGCACTGGGCTGAGCCTGTGGGGGAATTTGATCAGATGTTTTGAAATTATGGAATCATGAAATGGTTTGGCTTAGAGGGCAAGATCATCCAGTCCCACCCCCTGCATGGGCAGGGACACCTCCCACCAGCCCAGGCTGCTCCAAGCCCCATCCAACCTGCCCTTCAACACCCCCAGGGATGGGGCAGCCACAGCTTCCCTGCCCAACCTGGGCCAGGCTCTCACCACCCTCACAACAAAGAATTTCCTCCTCATCTCCAAACTCCATCTCCCTCTGCCAGTTTTCATCCATCCCCCTCATCCCATCCCTCCCTGCCCTTGTCCCAAGCCCCTCCCCAGCTTTCCTGGAGCCCCTTCAGGCACTGGAAGCTGCTCTAAGGTCTCCCTGGAGCCTTCTCTTCTCCAGGCTGAACACTCCAACTCTCCCAGCCTGGCTCCAGAGCAGAGCTGCTCCAGCCCTCCCACGGCCTCCCATCTCCATGGCCTCCTCTGGACTTGCGCCAACAGCTCCATGTTCTTCCTGTTTTAGGGGCTCCAGAGCTGGACACAGTTTTGGGAAGTCCCTGTGGCACCAGGATGTCTGGCAGCATCTGGGCAGTTGCTTCATCCTGTTGTGACACTGTCAGATGGAAACTGTGAAGATCCCCCTGTGGAGGAAATGCCCCCTGGGGGCCTCTCCCCCCACCTCAATCTCTCCCCAGCTGGGGCATCTGCACCCCAAAAAAACCTGCTATAAGATCCCAAGCCCACAGAGTGAAAAATAAAAGGTTGGAAGGTGATTTTAGAAATGTTGTGCAGAGCGCCAAAAAGCCACCTGTAGGTAATGACACCAAGTTGTGTGGAAGCTTGGGAGGCCCCATCTTGAATCCTGTGTCCAGAGAAGGGCAAGGAAGCTGGGGAAGGGTCTGGAGAACAAGAAGGCTCTGGAGAACTTGTGAGGAGCAGCTGAGGGAGCTGGGGGTGTCCAGCCTGGAGAGAAGGAGGCTGAGGGGAGACCTTCTGCTCTGCAACTGCCTGAGAGGAGGTTGGAGCCAGGGGGGTCGGGCTCTGCTCCCCAGGAACAAGTGATGGGACAAGAGGAACCGGCCTCAAGTTGCCCAGGGGAGGTTGAGGTTGGATCTTGGGAACAATTTCTCCATGGAAAGGGTTGTCAGGCCCTGGCCCAGGCTGCCCAGGGCAGGGGTCCCCATCCCTGGAGGGGTTTCTAAGCCCTGGAGATGGTGCTGAGGAACATGGGTTGATGGGGACTGGGCAGTGCAGGGTGAACGTGGTGATTGTGGAGGTCTTTTCCAACCCAAACTATTTTGTGATAATCAGCCCCTGGCCCAGGTTGCCCAGGGAAGCTGTGGCTGCCCCATCCCTGGGGGTGTTGAAGGGCAGGTTGGATGGGGCTTGGAGCAGCCTGGGCTGGTGGGAGGTGGCCCTGCCTATGGCAGGGGTGGGAATGGATGGGCTTTGAAGTCCCTTCCAACCCAAACGAGTCTGGGATTTGATGATTCAATGATCTTAAAGGCTTTTTCAAGGGAGGGGGGTGTGTTTCAGTTCCCCACACCCTCAAAGGAGTGGGGTGTGTGTGTTTAAATTTCCCATCCTTCCCATTCAACGAGGCGGGGTCTCCATTCCCCACCCCTCCCCCTCCCCCGGGGGTTCTCCGCGCCCCTCGGGACTCACCCCAGGCCCGGCGGGCTCGGCGCTGCAGCGCGGGCCTCATGGCCCCCAGCCGGGCCGCGTAGACGTGCGCGTATTGGCGGGCGAAGCTGCGCGGCCCCAGCAGGAAGGGCTGCGAGCGGTCGGTGTAACCCGAGCCCGGCACCCGCCAGAAGGTGGGAGCTTCGCCCCGGGGGGTGCTCAGCAAGGCCTCTGCCGTGGGGGCTGCCTGGGCCCAGAACATCGTGGGGGGTGGCGCTAGGAAAAGGAAACAGGATTCGTTCAAACCAGGTGGCCCGAATCCCTCCCCATACACAGTGACCCGTTGCCCCCCCAAAGCACAACCCAGCCCTCGCCCCCGAAGGCTGCCCGACCCCCCCACCCAGCACCCCGGTACCGCCCAGCTCCTCCCGGTGTCAGAAAATCCCCCGAGTGCCGCCC